GAACATGTCAGGTGGAAGACCCAAATGCTGTGCGATGGTTCAGCTCCTACCCACCTAGCAGTTCAAAAGCATGCAAATGAGAATAGATAAATAGCTACCATTTCTGTGGAAGATAACAGCTTTCTGTGCACCTCGGCATATAGTCATGCTAGCCACATGACCATGGAAATGTCTTCAGACAATGCATACTACTTTGGCTAAGAAATGAGAATGAGCACTGCCCCCTAGAGTCAAAAACAATTGAACAGTGGAAACCTTTATCTTTATTTTATGTTCTTGAAAATGACAAAACCTTACTTATAATTCCAGATGCAAATGCTCAGGTTAAGTGTCAGGAATGGTGGAAGCTCTTCTGAGAATAATGACATATTTGGCATGCAGCATTTCCTCTGCTTTTGAATGTGACCTGGTTTTTCTGAGTATTCCCAACATTACCTCCTTCCCCTACAGAGATAGATTTCTACAAATCCAAGATCTTATTCACCTCATTTTCCTCTTGTCACTTGACCTGGAATGGCAGTGGTGGTGGTCATACAATTTGGGGTACATTGAATGCACCAGATAGTCTGGGAAGAGAAAGAAATGGTATAATATGAATAATGTACAGCAAGAGCTTGAATTCCATTGGATTGATTTGGGCCATGACAGAATGGTATAATGTATTTAGGTTCCTGCCTGACTTTTCACAAGCAGATGATTATGGACATACACACTTTCTGGTCCATTTGAAAGGATAATTCTTATTACTATCAACAATCTGCAAAGCTGTTGTAATTGTGCTCTGCTCCAATTTCCTTCAATCTGAACCACCTGAATCTTCTTAGTAACAGACACAGCATCTTAAGCACTGTTCAAGCATGTCTTTGATTTGGTCAATTTGTGCAGTCAGTGCAGTTTGAGTTGGGAAAATGGACAATGCAAAGAGCAACTCTGCCTACAGAAGTTTTCCCAGAATCACATAGTGAACTATGCACCCCTATTCCAATTATGAGATCTCATATGGCAGTAGTTTCATAGATCTCATAGTTTCCAAACATTGTGAAGTGATACTGTAATTGAGCTAGCTTCTAAGATCACATATGATCAAAGAAGAAAGAAAATGACTAATTTTTGAGAACAGGTTTACTATAACTAGAAAGTAATGTATGTAGGAATGTAATCCTTTGTGCATTGGGAGAAGTCCAAAATGATTACCTCCCAGGGTTCCAAAAGTATTAATAAATTTGTAAACTTAAATAATGAGTTCTTCAATCTCTTGTGTGTACGTAAGTTATATTTCCATGTAATGCTGCACTTCTGCCTTTACACAAGCACCCCAGAAATATCAGAAAATGTGTTAAATCTTGAATGAATAAAATGTTCTCCTTTCAGATTGATAGAGCACACCTGCAGGACATACCCTCTAAATTCATTGAATGACAAATAGATTGAACCTCATTAAAGCAGGATCTTTTATTGAACTGAAAATAGAGTCTGGGCTAAAAGCATCCTTCTGTTGTTTTACTTTATTCTGTGTAAGACATGTGTTGTTGGTTATTTTAAATTTCATAGGCTAGGACTGATGATTGTCCAAATTGTCCAAGCTGCAATTGTCCAAGCTGCAAAATTTTCCACTCATAAAATCATGGATACTTTTCATCCACCAACTCCTCCCATGTGTGTGTTAAGGCATCTTCCTTTCAATTCTTCCAGTTAAAAGAATATAATCTGGGGGGGGGGATACAAAAAATCAGTCTTAACTGAGTTTCCTTACAATTTAGAGGTTTTCCAAGGTTTCATGTGATGAATGGGGCTGCATTGGGTTCTTCGCTCACTCTAAAACTTCTTTGATGACTACAAATTCCTTATCCCATTTCATTTCAGCTAGACTGAGTTTTTATAAATGGTATAGGTATAGCAGCATTGCTCCAGATACATTCCTTTTTATCAGAAGTAATATACTGGGATATGGATGTTTCAGGGTGGGATTTGATATGATAGACTCTTAGCCTGCTGGAAGGCTTTGTATTACATAAATTAAAGGATTATTAGCATGCACCAAGGCTGTAGGGGATAGTTGAACAAACCAGAACTTTTAAATCTCTCACATATAGCTTGTTCCTAATCTGGGTTCATGTCTAATTTTAAAATACAAAAACTACAGAAATCAAACACAGGAAAAATATTTTTATGTATCTACTAAAGTTGATGATTTTGCCATTGTTAAACTGTTTTCATTAGTATTCTTAAATATTCCTGAAATATATTAGAAGATCACTATGATATGCCTATGATATGCTAATCATAGATTAGTTCTATTTCATAGAACTAATCTATGAAATCTCATAGCACATTTGTTTATGAAGCGTTGGAAGATGACTGAACCATTACATAATCATTTGAAAAGGATGAACTTCGGTTACATAAAATTGTAATTACTTAATATGGACTTGAATCATAATTACAAAGGTCAGGATTATAGAATCCAAAGCCTATGGACAACTGCCACAGTCTGCATCCACATTTGACCTAATTTGTGGGTAGAAATTGAGTTCCAAGTGCCTGAAATTGTTAGAGGCCTCTGAAACTATCAAGGAAAACTCTTCATCTCTCTGAGTATTACAGGAGTAGAAAACTGAAAATGTGCAAATATTAGCAAGAAAAAGATTCATATCTTTCTGAAAGATACAATAGAGTTTGTTTTGGCAGCTCATAATAAGGCACATGCTTCCTTTTCAGTCATGCTTCCTTTTTACATCTTTTCTCTTTTTTTTGGAAAATCATAGGTGTGTTCCACCCAGCATCATGGACTCTGTTACTGCAGACTCAGTTGCAAAGTTTTTAAAATAATAGTATGTTATTTAAATAACAGTATGTGGGTATGTACATATGTGTATATATAGGCATTTTCTCAACTGAATCCCAACCCTCCAGCTGATTTTATACTAATAGAACCACATGAGTAGTTAAAATAGGCATTGTCTTGCCTCTTCCTAATACACATCATCAATTAGGCTTTCCTGAAATTGGACCACTAATGCTGGTTCATTCAGCCTTTAATCTAAAAGCACAGGTATATAGTAGTTCAACACAGACTTATGCCCCTCTTGTAAACATTGAAGGTCTATCTGTATTAGCCTTTGAAGAAGAATTTTCAAACATCCTCACAAAGTCAGTGAAATTTGTTAAGAGTTCTTCTTCAAGACAAGAAAATAATAATAAAATGTTTATTTAATTCCCAAATTGGTAAAGCTCTCAACCCAATATTGGTTATTCAGGAACACATCACTTCATATTAGAAATGTAGTAATGTAAATATCTCTGGATTCCTTTCCCATTTTGTGTGTGAAAAACTTGATATTTTAGGCAAATTAGAGAATGAGGCAGGAGGAGTTTAAGCAATAAACTGACTCAATGGATGCTGCATTGTATAACAAGTGCAGCTGTCCCAAAGAATGTGGTTTTCTTGTATTAGCCCTTGGCTAAAGAAGTTCTCACATATTGCCAGATTCTAACAGGGTTAAATGGAATAGCCAGCCAGTCAGTCAGTCTGTATTAAACCAGGTTGTAAAACAGTAAATTAAACCAGAATTGTTGAATTAGTGTTGAAAAATCTTAAACAAAGGTAGTATTACAATTCCTGCAAAGAATCAGTGTTTGAAGGAGTGAGATGTATGCAGTAATTGATATCAGCTCAAGTATCAACAATGTTGAAGAGACTTTGAACACCATAGATAAATTTGCTCCAACTAGGCACAAACCATCTGGGCAACCTTAACACAATCTCTATATTCTATATCCAAATGCAGGTAAAAGTGTACAGCCTTGATTTGGTCAGAATATAATTCTGCAAAGCTTCATCTCCCTGCATCAGTCTTTTTGAATATTATCTCTCCCTATTGTTTCCAGCATTGTCAGGGATGGCAGGGTTTCTATCTAGTTCCAGTTCTAAAAAGCCTCTGCTGCAGTCACAAACAGTAAAACTTGCATATACCTTCCAAAGATATATGAGGCTTGGTACTGTTATTTGAAATATCAGATTTATCAGATGGATTTTCTTGTAGGGGTGATGATATGCCTGGCTGGAACTGACATTTCACGTTGCATCTTGCTTTTTCTGGTTGCACTCAGCTCTAGTATAAATAAATTGTTACATTGTCCAGGGTTGACCTGCTTTTCAGTATTCTTCTTTAGCCAGGCTCTTAACCTGTGAAAATGATACACAATTTGAGTTAGTCTCTTTTTCTAGCCTACCACTCTGACTCTTCTTGCCTTTAGACTTTTTGATGACATTTTTATTTTTAGGATAGTTCAAAGCATATCTAGAATCTAGTATTTAAATGTAGCATTTCCTATCCTGCTACTTTCCAGATGTGTTGATGTTGAATTACAAAGTCTTCATGAATAGAAGACGGGTGCATCAGAGGCAAGTAGGCCTAGCCAGTTCAGCTTTGATTCTTTATTATGTATATTATAGTAATCATAAATAGATTATCATTATCAAATAAATATCATTTGTCAAATGGCAAATATAATGCAAACTATCTTGTGGGTCAGGTTTCTCCAACTCTGTATTTCCAGATGGGTAAAACTAAATTTCTCATTAGGCACATTCTATGTCCATACTGATTGAAAATGATGTTCTACTTTACCCCTTCAGGAAGATCTTACTTTGAGGGGAAGGCTACTGTAAGCAAGCCATAAAATATAAGCATGCACATTATCTGATTTCAAAATATTATCCATTAAGTATAAACTCTTGAGCTAAGAACAATATATCCTTCTAGTATCTGCTTACCCATGGTCTCCAAAGAGAAACTATTCAGTGTGGAAAAGTGTAAATTCAGTAACTGAAGAAAATTGGCAGATTTATGCTGGTAGCAGTCTATATTTCATTATTCAATGCCTAAAATTGTGCAAGACATATCTCAAATGCATATAATTAATAATGGAGAAATTAATGATGTTTTTATTTCATGGAAGCAGATGGATCTTTATTATCATTATTTTCTATTATTCAGCTCCAAATGTGGCCCCTTCTGAGGTTGGAGGAGGAGGTGGAAGCAATAGAGAACTGACAATAACATGGGTGGTAGGTATTATCCAGTATATTTATCTATATTGTAGAAGAATGTTGTAAACTGTCCAGAGTCACTTAGGTGAGATGGTCAGCGTAGACATTAAATAAATGAATAAATAAACAAACAGAAGTTACATTATTCTGCTGAGATAAATGTGTTTTGTGCATATAAAATAGATCACTATAGAATGCAGGTTATTATAAATATTACTAAATAATTTGCGAACATACATAATGAGTTTTTGTGTCCATACTTATATTTTTTAAGATTCAAAATTCCTTTTCAAAGTGATCTTAAAGGCTAAATGGAATAAAATTAACAAAAGTGATGATGATATTATATATTGAATAAATACTGGGCATTTCTTTCTTAGGCCAGAACATTAAATTAGAATCTACACATAAACTTTTAGCAAACAGACTACTTTGTATATGAATGCAGACCAGCTACAATATTGATTGCTAAATAGTATAGTCACATTAGAATTTTTGTTGATGAACATTCATTCTATTTGGGTCAGTTAGATTTTTGTTCAGATCACTGCTTAAACCATTGCTACTCATTTTTTGGTCTGGGATCTGAAAAAAGTGCCACAAATCATACCACACCTTTTAAACATGAAGTGATTGCTAGAACCTAGCATATGCTTAGAATAAGCTTGCTTTGATACAGTGTTAATTCAATATGACTAAAGGAATTGCAAATCTAAACAAATATGAAGCAGTGAGAGCAGCAGAGAAATGTGCATCCTTACCTAGTACCTTGTTTCGCCTCACTTTAAATCACTTAGACTTTGGTGTCTACAATGCCCTAAGATGTGCTTTGATTGCACCAATCATTTGCAACTATGAGGGCCATGCATTTTATGTTTATTATATATTATATGGATATGGATAAATTTTATGTTTATTATTTTTTAAGGGGCATCTACACTTACACATCAGGTGGCCAATTTTTTTTTTACCAAGTCACACGTTCAGAATTTTTTTAAATTAGGCATGCTGCTTTATTGTCCCATTATTTTTCTCTTCTCTAACAACTAATTGTTGTATTAAACTGTTCTTTTTACTGTGGTTTTTTTTAATTGTAAAGGCTAGTCAAAGACCGTAATACTATCTTGTAACATTTTCATATTTATCTGTGCTTTCTTACCTAGCCAAATAAATTTTTTAATTATTTTATTTAATTCCTCAAAGAATCTCCTTTACAATTTTATAGGGACTGTCTGGAATAGATATAATAATTTTGGCAATATATTCATTTTAACCACTGCTATCCTTCCTAGTAGTGATAACTGTAATTTTCCCCAAATCTTTAAATCTTTTTTATTTGTTATATCAGTTTTTTATAAATATCATCTTTTATTGAAGAACACCTTACAGTGAGCCAAATTCCTAAATATGTAATCTTTTTTTCAATTTGCAATCCCAAATCTTTTTCTAATTCTTTCTTTTCTTTTTCAGTTAAATTTTTTACTAACATTTTGATCTTTTCTCTATTAATTTTCAGTCCTGCCACTGTCCCAAATTTTTCTATTTCATTCATTAAGGTGTTTCCTGTTTCCAGCGGCTCTTCTATGAAGAAAACTAGGTCATCCGCAAATGCCTCTGTCTTATATTCTTCTTTTTTTACCTTTAGTCCTTTTATCTCTCTATTGTATCTAATTTGGGTTAGCAGCCCTTCTAATGTCAAGATGAAAAGCAGAGGTGACATTGGGCATCCCTGTCTTACTCCTTTATTCGAATTTCTCTGTGTTATCCCCATTAATTATCACTCTAGCTGTTTGTGTCGTGTATATCGCCTTTATTGTTTTCTCGAACTTCCCTCCAAATCTCATATCTTTGATCTGTTGGAACAAAAACTACCAATTAAGATTATTGAATGCTTTCTGGGCGTCTAAAAATATTAGTGCCACCTGTTTTTCAGGATGTGCTTCATAGTACTCTAAGACATTTAACACTGTTCTTATATTGTTCCTAATTTGCCTTGTAGGTAGAAAACCATTTTGGTCCAATGTATTATTTCATTTAATATTAATTTCAATCTTTCTGCAATTCTAGTAGTAAAAATTTTGTAATCTGTGTTCAACAGTGAGATTGGCCAAATTTTTTATTTGTTTGGGGTCTGTACCTTCTTTTAGAATAAGAGATATATAAGCTTCAGTCCAGGAGTCTGGTAATTTGGCCTTCTCCAATATATCATTATACACTTCCAGTAGTATCATTTCAAAATCCTCATACAAACTCTTATATACCTCCCCTGGAAGTCCATCTGGCCCCGGGGTTTTATTACTTTTTTGTTTTTGCACTGCTCTTCTTAATTCTGTGGCTGTTATCTCTTTATTTAATATTTCCCTCTGTTCTTCTTTTAGTTCCGGCAAACCATTAACCTTTAATATTGTTTTATGTTCTCCTCGTCTATTTCTTCTTTTTTGTATAGCACCTCAAAGTAATTCTGGATTATTTTTTTCTTGTTTTCCATTTTGTAATGTAACTTTCCATTTTCATCCTGTAATTCCTGAATCAATCTTTTTTCCCTATCGTTTTTTAATTTACAGGCTAGCCACCTCCCGGGCTTTTTTGCATGTTCAAAAATTTTTTGTTTTGCCGCTTTCAATTCCTTTGCCCTTTCCTCTTGCTCCACTATATTTAGTTTATGTTTAGCCAGAACCATTTTCCCTTTAATTTTTTCATCCTGGGGCTCCCTTTCTAATTTAGATTCTAATTTTTTAATCTCCTCCTGCAGTGTATTTTGCATTTGCTTTTTTGCTTATATATATATATATATATATATATATATATATATATATATATATATATATATATATATATATAAAAGCTATATATATGCCCCTTAGCTACGCTTTAGCTGTATCCCATATAATTTGTAATGATGTTGGTTGTTTTGTATTTTCTGTAAAAAAATAATTCTATTTCTTTTTAAATATTTAAAATAAATTCTTTTTCCTTTAAAATTTGGGGATTCAGTGTCCACCTTCTCCTAACTTTTTTCTGTCCTTTCCAAATTATTTTTAAGGGGTTGTGGTCAGCCCACGTATTTGGCATTATTTCTATTGTTTCTATATCCTTTCCTACATCTCCATTCATCCATGCCATATCTAATCAGGACCAGGATTTATGTGGGTTCGAGAAAAAAGTGTATTCCCCCTTTTTTTTTTTGGATTCAATTCCCTCCACTGATCGAATAAATTGAGTTCATGTACCATATCAAAGAATGATCCTGGTAGTATTTTTCATTACTTTTTATTTTTCATACTGCTAACATAGTCCTTTTTTTCGTTCACCACCGCATTGTAGTCTCCTACCATGCAAATATTTCCCTGTTCCATTTCTATAAGTTTTTCGTGTAATTTGCTGTAAAATTCTTTTTGATTCTCATTTGGGGCATAAATTGTCACCAACAACCATGATTTCTGCCCAATTTGTAGTTCTATCATTAAAACTCTTCCATCTATATCTTGATATTTTAATTTAATTTAATTTATTCCCTTCCTAATATATACCACTATTCCCCTCTGTTTTTGTTCCACTAATGCTGTGTATAGTGTTCCTAATTTCGGGAATTCCAAACATTTTCTATGCTGCTCTTTTATATGTACCTCTTGTAGGCACACTATATCTATACCTTGTTTTGCTAATTTTGTTAGTATTTGTTTTCTTTTAGCAGGGGCATTTAATCTGTTAACATTAATCGATATTACCCTAATTTCTTCTTCCATTGTTCTACTTATATATTGGTTTCTATCTTCTATTGATTCTAACATCTCTTTGTGGTCGTGTTCTCAAACCCGCTCCTTCTCCTTCCCTTTGTCCCTTTTCTTCCTTGATTTCTATCTCCAGTTCTATTTCTTTTAGCTCCCATTGCTGGTCTTCCTGACTTCTAGATTCTAATTCCTCTTTGCTACTGCTCTCTTCTTCTACCCCCTCCAGCTGATCATAGAGTTCTTGTGCCTTGTCTATATTGTCTATCTTGATCTTTCTCTCCTGCCATGATACCAACATCCCTTCTGGGATTAACCATCTAAATAGTATATTTCTTTTAATCAGCTGAGCACCGAGAAACCTATAGTCTCTTCTCTTCGGGATTAAAACGTGTTTGTATTTCTTTATCGTTATAAATCATTGGGTCATCTCTCGTAATCTTATAAATTATGTCTCTGACTTTCTTTCTCTCAAATTTTATATGAACTTCTCATGGCAGTCTATTGTGCCTAGCGTAGTTTGTGTGAATTCAGTACGCGTTGTTGATCTCCAATAATATTTCTTGCCTATCCCTTTGTAATGCTCCCACTATCAGCCTTGCCATAATAGTGCCCAAGTCTTCTTCCTTTTCTTCCATTATATTCTGGAATCTTAGATAGAATGCAGCTCTCTCTATTTCCAGGTGGATAATTGATTCTTTGAGTCCCTTGTTCATTGCCATCAACTTTTTGTCTACTACGTCAACTTTTTTTTCCATTTGTTCTGACCCACTTCCACTGTTTTTATTCTTTCTTCATTTTTCTCAATTGTTTGTTGTATCATCTCTATCTTATTGTCCAATTTAATCATATCTCGTTTCAATTCTATATGATTTTTATACATTGTTTCCTGCATCTTCATCATCGTTTCCTGAATGGCCAATAATGTTGTCTGCATAGTTTGCATGTTTGATATTACGCTCTGTTTTTCTGTCCCCAGCATTCCTTCAAATGTTCTCTGACAGATGGGGATAAGGGTGTCAGTGATGGGCTTGATGTTGTTTTCTTTCCTGTTCTCAATGTTGTCGTTGTAGTGCTTGTCATATTACTCAAGTTTACAGTACTCTTAATTAATTTTCAACTTAATTCAAATCTACTCAATTCCCTTTATAACCAATCTTGGCAGTATCTTGAATACAATGCTGTTTGTTCTCTTAACTCTTCTTTATACCTTTATACCTTTATACCTTAATCTCCTCTTAATACCCTAACTTAATCCACTTAGCCTCTAATTATTCATTACCACTATAT